TTAGTAACAGCCTAAATGTATTATTATTATAATTGACTGATTAAATGTAAGAATTTGACTCGAAAGATGATGTACACTTTTAGAAAAAAATGGTTTTATAAAGGTAAGAATGCCCATAAAAGTTAAAAATCAATTAAAAAATATTGGAAAAGATTAATTTCTATCACTGCTGTGAACTGACCACACAGAATATGAAGAATATCAAAAATTTTAGGAGTCAGCTGTCCACGGTAGTCCTTAAGATATCAGCACAATAACACACTCAGCAAAATATCGTCTAATTATCTTTATCGATAAAATCACAGAAAATATTGAGATATTATTTTTTGTCAATATCGCACACCCCTAGTACTGACAAAATGATTTGCAACGGTCGCTTTGTCACGCCCAGTGTAGACGGCCTCAAACTGTTAGTTTATTTCTGTCTTTTTTTTTTTGGCTAGTAGAAGTTATGAATGGCCGGTATCTTAAAAATTTAGTAGCCAAATTGGTTGGTGAGTGAAAAAGTTCATTTCAATCCCTGGATATAACCGTTTTTGGATCTGTTTTTAGTTGTTTTAATACTACAATTGATTGCTTCTGTTGTCCTCATTTGTAAGTCGCTTAGTATAAAAGCATCTGCTAAATAAATAATACTAAATAAATAAATAAAATAAACCGTATATTAAAAGCTAACATAAGCAGTAGCATTTACGAATAACAGCATATCTAAAAGTACGAGACAACAACAAACAAAAAACATAGGCCTACCATTAAAAGCCGTGCTTGCACAGGTTTTGCACGATCCTCTTCACCAATATCCTCTGCATCTCAATCGGGCTCAAACTGATAAGCGATATTAAAGACGCCGTTGTTTACAATACAACCGGAGCACATGTCGCTGAGGTGAGGGGCGGGAAGGAACGGGAGGTGAGGGGCGCACTAGAGGCGGTTTAGCCAATCACAACACACTGTGCCAGCTAACCAATCAGAGCCCATCACCTATTTCTGAGGGCGGGGCTTCATAAAAGCAGGAAATGAACAGCGCATTTCTCAAAGAAGGGACAGAGCGGTGTGGAATAAAGGTAAATTATGTGAAAAATAATGCGTTTTTTTTTTTTTTTTTTAAACGAAGCATTAACACATTTTAGACTGCACCCTATAAACACAATCAAGCCTAGAAAAAGACCAGTGAACCATCCCTTTAAACATATCAAACTATAGAAAATTCACAATATTACTGTTTTTAATCACATAAATGCATCCTTTGTGAGCATGAGACCAAACCCATTTGAATGGTAGTGTAGTTCACATATTGTTGAAGCTAGACAGTATGCAACAGAACAGAAGGAATAGTGTAATTTTAGGCTATGTTTTAGACATTGAGACTAATTAGATTTTTTTAGGGGGGGGGGGGCTAAAACCTGAATTTTCTGAATTTGACAAAAAGTCTATAAATTCATTGTATTTATAGCACCACCACTTAAAAAAAAACTGTTCAAAAAAACTTTACAACTCAATTTCCTAATTACCGTATTGACCCGAATATAAGACGATGTTTTTTTCTTGGAAATACATCTGAAAAAACGCGGTCGTCTTATATTCAGGGTCTAGACTTTGACATGTCAATAATACACGGCGCCAAATACGCATAAAACAAGTGTGCCATGAAATACGTAATGTAATGCGTGTTGTAAAGATCGCGAGTAAAAACAAAGGAAAAAGAAAACCTTACAGCTGCATGAGTCGTGACTGTCACGTTAGCCTGATGGGACCAAACTCATTTTGTGATTTTAAAACGTAAGACAGTACCCAGATTTGAAGACTACAGTAAGATTTAACTTCTACTGTTAATAAGATTTTGATAGGCTACTATTAGATGGATAGCCTAAATGTCCTAATTCAGATGGGCTACCGGTTTTTTTTTATTTGTTTTTTATGGAATATCAAAAAGTGTATATTTTTTAAATGTGATTGTTGTTACATTTAGCCAGTTTTTACCATACTTTCAAAACAAAAATTAAAATAGGAAAAATATGCAATATGATAATAATTGAAGACAAAATGTGTTTTACTGAGAAAAAACAAGATTTCGTTTTTAAAAAGTTTTTTTCCAAAAGGTACATCTGGAAAAAGGGGGGTCGTCTTATAATCAGGGTCGTCTTATATTCGGGCCAATACGGTACTTAATCAAGGGGGGTTGATAACTGGATGACTAGTCGTTTAGTTGCCCATCCTGAACCATCCCTAATAGTAGACTGAAATAATGTGCCAAAAAAGAGATTATACTGAACTTCAAATAGGACATACTTGTCATAGAGAATCATGGCATCATTCTGGGCTTCCTGTCCATCGTACTGGCCTTTCTTGGAAGCCAAATGATCTTGAAAGTTTTCTGCAGCCAGCCAGAACTGCAGTACATTCATTGCATCCTCCTTCTCCATATACTATATTGACACACACACACACGCAAACACACACTTTGAATTAGGTTTCAATCCTACTTTATAATCCCTTGGCACTTCAAATGTACTTGGATCAGAAATCCATCAATTTACATGCACACTTGCACTTTTGGTGCATTCTGCCATTTAGAAAGAGGTTTTGAGCAGACTGTCCAGATCAGCATAATTCATGGGCTTATACAGCTCTATGCTTAAATTCATCATAAATTCAACTTAAAAGTGTGTTCTAACGGGATACATATTATCTGGACTCATAAAACACTTAAAGCACATTTAATAAGTAAATAACATTATATATAATTCCACATCTATACATTTATTATTTAAATTGCATACAAGTAAGATTATCTACAGGAAAATTTGGGGTAAATACTAGTTAAGCTGTAAATCTACTGTACAGCTATATTTAAAATTGTATTAATCCTGTAATTTTCTTTTAAACATGTTCAGAAGCTTAAGTACATCATACAGAGTTTCCTCACCTCAGAGAAGTAGAAGAGGGCTGACTCGCAAAACAGAATGTCCGCAAGGAACACAGAACCACTGGTCAGCACCTCAATCTGGTACTTACAGAAATAATGGCTCCGCAAGAACTCACTAAAGTGCCTGTAAAACAGATGCCAGACATTTCCATGTAATTTCAGAAAGAAAATAGGCTATATAAACAAATACATTTTGAATAAATAGAGAGCAAAGATTAGACCAGCCAATTTAGTATGACTAATTAAAAAACAACACCAAGATAAAAACTTAATACATTAACATACAAATTTTTCAAAATAACAATTCATGCCCCTGACCTGTAAATACATTTCACAAGAAGCAATTAAAGCTTTTAAAGCCCCATCTCTACTATGAGAAACAGCCCCAACTCTACACCTTGCAAATTCAATTTATGTGTTCAAAAACAGCTAGGAGAACAAATGGAATGGAACAAAATATATTTCAATCATGGCAACTCTCTGAATAGCATGTTATTGTATATTACTGTTAATGTATTTGATTTTTGCAGACTAGATTTGCTACACATGATGCTGCAAAGCAAGTATGGACCTGCTACGGCGATTGTATGCACAGACACTCTGCTGTAAGCATGTAAGACACACTGGTGCTGCCTGAATAGGCGTATATATAAATCCTGTAAAAGATCTAGACAGGTGGGGGAGGTAGAGGGTTTCAGAGGAACTTGCGCTGCAGGACCAGTTTACAGTGAACAATGAACCAGATTATTTAAACAAGCAATCTAATTGCCTGCAGAATCAGCAGAGGCCAATCAGCTTGCACCATGTAGTAAATGTGACCCATGCTGGCAAAATGAGTCGGAATGCACACAGGCTAATTTTGAGCTACAGGCAAAAAAAAGTGAAAAATGTAGATTTTAGTTGATTTTGAGGTTTTCACTAAAATTAGTTCATTAAGCCCTTGTCTAGCGATCCCAATGCTCCGAATAATAATTTTAGATGTTTAATTACCTTTATTTGTCCGTTTTCTGAGAGGAGTACCTTTTCTCCATTTGTTTCTCGCACTGTCATCCTAAGAGCGCGCATAAAAGCGGTTCCGATTGCACGCGATCCCAATAAATATACACAGAATTACAATATTTAAGTATTCACACAAACATAATCTGTTATGTCTTGAGTGAACGTTCGGGGAACTGTTGAGAAAAACATCTGATGTGTAACATTATATTAGATCCGTGCATTACAGTGGGTCTTAATATAGGCCGCCTCATTAATGTTAATCTAACAATAAAAGAAAAGAGGGAATCACTTGCTGCTATTGATTGAACTGCTTTTGCAGTTTCAATAATCAATTTATTTGTAATGAACACTAATGAACAATAATCAATTTATTTGTAATGAACACTAAACATTAGTTTTTTTTCTTATATTTGTTCTGTTTTTTTTGCATCTGTTATTATTTATAATAACAAAGATAAAATAAAAAATAGCTATATTGTGATTAATATACAAATTATTATTAAGAAAAGAAGTGGAGGAAAAGATGCAACGTTGCGGGTGATTTTGCTTTGGAACCTTCAAAAAACTTTAACTCGATTTTTCTCAAAATTTACTTTGCTAACTCTGTCGACTTCAAACAGGTGTAGTTCAGTCATTTTTCGTCCGATTCCAACAAATCATACATAATTTTGAAGGTATTTTAATGGAGAATGAAAATTAAAATAACTAATTTCTGGAAAATTGCTCATTGTGACTCATTTTACCAGCACAGGTCACAAATGATGTGAGTGCAAGCATATTGCATGTAAAGGACCTGTCAGCTTGTGCCATCTAGAGTTTCATAAATGAATTATATTTGTACGAGGATTTTTTTAAAGCTAAAATAATACTTCACACAATGTTTTAAAAATGCGTAAATGCTCATGAACGGTCAAATACATCTGTCTTCATGTTTATGCAGTCTGTTTCTTGAGTACATTGGATGTAAAGAATAAAAACTGATAAATGTACACTTTTACAGATATGAGAGCAATATGTGTGAAGGACAAACACTGAAAGTGAAACTACTTACTGTTGTTCGATGATGGAGAACACAACAGATTGTGCAATGACAAAGCAGTTTGGGTCCACCTGTCCGTCTTCACCACAGATTTTCGCTGCCAAAAGAAAAAAAACAGTTTACTCTATCCAAACAAAAAATGCTCTCACATCCTAAAGACCGAAGTTAATCCATCCAATCAAAAATAGTCATTTTGAGGATATTCAACATAAAAATGTACTTCGTAAATAAGGTGTGTAATGACAACAAGCTCCCTGAAGCTAAATCCATAAAACCAGGCCCTCATTTTCTAATCACCCAGTATCTCCTATAAATATAATTATCTTGTTCAAACACAGAGAAAAAAAAATCTGAGTACTTCTTCAGCAGTCTAAACAGAGAGGTCATTGTGATAAGGAATTCTCTTACCCACAATGTCGTTGCGTATCGGTTCAGTGATGGGAATTGGCCTAGCAGCATCTGGAGATATGTACTTAGTGAAAATGTTAACGGCATCCCTCTCTATACCTAGAAATTAGAAAAATCATTATACATGGAAACTGAAAATACAGAGGATAAAGATGACGGACAAAACACACTCGATCCACAGCAAACACCTTTATCATATTCAACATCCCACTTCACAGACTTACAGAAGTGTAATTCACATTTCAGCCATGGCTATTCATCAAAGCCTCATGTCCGCTTAAGTGTCACTATTAATCAAACAAATGACTAGTACAGTTAGAGCAAAGGCCCAGGGACAAATCTTACATCTACACCTTGTTAAACATTAATATCAAACTCAAATACAGGATGGACACATATTTCATACTGAAGAGCATGTCCGTATGCTTGAGACACCAGAAAAACTAATCTTTTACAGAAGTGTGTATGTATGCGTGTATATATATATGAATATATAAGGTCAATGATTTATTTGGATCATGGTTGACGATCAGCCATGAGTAGTAAGCTTCTGTGTTTAAAGGCCATGTTGAAAGTGTTTGAGTTTAATGGGTATCTGTGAGATGAGGAATCTCATCAGAGCATATTTAAATGTTGAAGCGCTTTTCATAAAATCCATGAGATGCTCAGAAAATCCAGAGACAGCCTTATAAAATGCAATGAAGTGGACAAAGACTTGTTCCCTTTTAAGACACTGAAGCCTCTCGCAGCAGAAGCCACGGGCTGATAGGATCTGACTCCCCTTCTAAGCTGATTTGATGTCTTTCGGCTCAACTGACTTTTTCCATTCACTGCTTTTACAGCCTGGAGCTTCTTTGTATTAGCCATTAATGAATACTCAGCTCCTGACTTCTGTTCATTGCAGTCCACAGCCAAGATGCTAAATGGGATCATTTACCAAACCTGCTCTATAAAACCAATGCCGCACGCATATTAAAAGTCATCGTCTGATACAAAAGGAATATGTTTTAATGGTAAAAGGCCACCAACCATGAAAAACTTAAGTACGGAATATTCCCTACGGATATTAAGGAATGCTTGTTAAAAACTCAAGTTTAAAGGTACAGTTTTAGTGAAATTACTAAGGAATACTGCATATCCTGCAGTATTAAAGTAGTTTTTTTTTAATTCAGCCAAAAGGTCATTTAGAGTCACTACTAATCAAACGTCAAATTCGCAGGTCAGAGTTCACCAAACTTACATTTTTCTATTTATATACAGCCCATCACCCTGTAAAAACTAACAGGAAATGTATGTATCATTACGCGCTTGAAAAGAAAGCCTAGCAGGCAAGTACGCACCATCAAAATAAATATTCAAGGCATGCCATCAAGGATGCACAACGCAAAAATTCTGTAAGGAAAAGTAAGTGTGCGCTGTTAATCCAAGTGTAAAAATAGAGGACATGATATATCAGATATGCCTGTACTGTTTCTAAAGGACAAAATCAAGGCTAAACATCACACATGTTAACATGAATCTAGTGTGATAAAATCACCTAACCTTGCCTGGACAAAGCTTTATCTTTTAACAAGTTTCACACTAAGCTTTGCTTAGTGTCCATGTCAGGATACCAGGAAGGGATATGACATAACTACCTGGAAAGCAAAGGAATTATGACAATAACACATAACCAGAGATTCATCAACTTAATAAGCAGGCCCACTTTATGGCCTTTTAGACAAATTTGCAAATCCAGTAATAAACATTTAAAAGTACCTTAACAAAAATTCAAGCTTTAAATTACTGTTTTACATTGTAAATGCAATACAGTAAACATGTTTTCTTTTTTTTTACTGTGGAAATCAACAGCACACCACAGAACATGCTACAAAAGTAGCATTTAACTGAGTATCCTCCTTTAACCCTAAATTACCCAAGGTGGACCAAATATATGTGGAAGGCAATACATAACTACAACACGGAGAAGACCTCAGCAAGCACTTGTTCAAAAATACCAGTTAGGAGGACTGATTGCAGGAATAAAGTCAAATCAAACAAATAAAATACTTTCAACAATAAGGTTACCATAACTGGTACTCACTTTTCATAAGTTTCTCAGAGAGGCCACTAGTAGACTGGACTTTAACTGGAGTGCCTGTCCTGGAGGAGGGCTGTCTGGTGGGCGTTTCTGACCTTAGGGTGGGCTGCAGGTGGGGAGTCCCAGGCCGGGCCGCCCCCTCTGAGCTAACAGAGTTCCGGTGGCCAATCAGAGCCCTGGTATGAGAGTTAGTGTCTTGGGGGCTGGGGGTGTGAGGTCTGGAGGACGTCCGGGAGGAGAAAGTATCCTCTTCGTCTCCCTCATCCAGAGCTGAGGGTCTGCTGGGGTCGTTTGGAGAGTCTGGTGAGTCTGGGGATTCCAGGCCAGCCGCAGGCTCAGCCAAGGTGCTGTGTTTGACTGAGTTGAGGCTGTGTGCTCTGACCCTAGACCAGCTGGTGGATCGGAAGCTCTCAGCCTCAAGCCAGAAGCGGGCCAGGTGCTCAGCTGAGCGGGTCTCCATAAACTGTATGAAGTAGGGCAAGGCCAGATTATCCCGCAAGATCTGGTCTACAGTTTTAGAAAGCCGAGAGCGAGTCTCTTGAACCTGGTAGTTGACACTGGAGCGACCTGAAAAGCAAAGACACTTTTTAAACCCCAGTGTTACAATCCATATTTCCTTAATGCAGAGACAACATACTTAAAAACAAGCAATCTCAGATTTGGACTGGTAACAACCAGTTGTCTGGTTTGTGTATTGACAGTGATTAAATTTCACCCTTTTTATATAAACAGAAGGGGGGAAAACCAAAACAAAACCCAATATAAATAATAGCCAATAAATAAAATACCACAAAACATAAAAAAACAAAACCCCATAATAAATAACCAATAAACAAAAACAAGAAAGACAAAACCCAATAAAAAATAACAACCAATAATTAAAATAAACCCAGCTAAAACAATTTAAAAACAAAATATAAAACCAAACACAAAACAAAATGGAAAAAAAAACAATATAAAAATAACTAACAATCAAAAACAACAAAACTCCACAACACAACACAAAATCCAATAAAAAAAATAAAACAACCAAAAAACACAAAACATAATAAACATTAACCAAAAACAACACAAGACACAACAAAACAAAGCAATCATCGCAAAACTTGACTTAACTAAATAAAATAAAATAATAATGTGATGCTTGCCTGTCCGAAACTTACCACTATTATACCAGGGCATTGCTTTATGGTTCCTAGGGTGTTCTAGATGGCTGCTATAGGATGTTGCTTACTGGTCTAAAAAGAGCCCACCCCAAGTCTCCATATTCTGGTATTGCCAATCAGCATGTTTAATGTTTAATAGTTTGGATTAGATGTTTGTTCAAATCCCATGAAGTATGAACAACAGTAATACTGATGCATGTTAGTAATTGCTATACAACACTGAACTCAGAGCACCTTTAATGCCTGTAATTCAAACCCATGCCATATCCAGATCACGCCCAGCCATCTATTTCTAATATACAGCAGCCAGTGGCACAGACTTTATTCCACACAAAACAAATTTTATAATAGTGCTGTGACCTCCATTGAATGCTTTGAAAGGCCACACCTTCCTCTTTCAACACCACAGGACACCAGAAGAAGGTCTGATTAAAACATTCACTGGGATGTAAACTGAACTCTATGAGTCCAGTATCAGAAAACGCAAAGGAGGGTACTTCAGACGGAAAAATACAAACCTCCTTTGCATAGGAGGCAACACGTTAAGATATGACGTTAGAAGCATTATCTTTTTTTCCAAAGTTACCTTGCAACACTGGTTTGTCAACACATACATTTCAATGTTACATATTTTTAAATGAAAAGGCAGGGTTAGGACAAAACAAAAACAAAGACAAGACATTCTATCCTAGGGCAGATGATAACGAGAATATGACTTTTACACCAAGTATGACAACCAAACCTTCTAAGCATGGCCAAGTTTAAAAATTAATTAATTAATTAATTAATTAATTAATTAATAATAATAAATAAAAAGTTAATTACATCATCATCACTACAATTTTAATAGTTAAAGTTTTAATGGGACATTTAATGCAATTTTACAGTAAAATACTGTTAAATGGACAGTTTTTGCAAGTGAAAAAGAACCAGTCATCTTATAATTTACAGTGAAAAACTGTAAATTAACATTCCCAGAAACCTCTGACACTTCACATATGATTGTTTGTCAGTGAAATAACTATGTTTCTTCTTAGTATTACTTATGTAGAACACTAAATAACACATTGTGTTATTAAATGAATGTTTTTTGTGCATAACACTGTGCACCTTTTAAATACTAAATATGAGTATTTACCTCAGCTTGTAGAAAAGCAACTTGAATGAACTATGATTCATCATGTGGCTTTCTGTTTACCATCTGTGTTTTCAGTATGGTTGTCAAGACGGTAATTTGGCAACCACAGCTGCCATTTTTATACTGTAAACTTCACAGATTTTAACAGTGAGGACAATCACTTATTTAAAAGCAGGTTAAAGTGGAGGAGCTTGTACAGGTTTCCAACTATCACAGAGCTATGAAAAGGTTAAGAGATTATGGCACTTCTCACACAAATCCAGCAGGTCAGCGCGCTGCAAAAGCCATTTCAGTAACAGCTTCACAAAATCCCTCCTCTAATGTGATAATTCCTTCTCCCTCGGCCGTGGACACACACAACACATTTAGTTTAAAATACTCAGCACAAAACAGTAAGTTACAGATCAAATGTTGCTAACAAGCCCACCTTAATAAAAAAGTAGAGCAGCTTTGAGATCAAAGAGTTTATAATGAAAGTTCAGGCTAGGGCTGTCGCGATAACTGCAATATCGCAATACCGCGCTATTGACCAGCAAACCGCAGAGGAATGCAAGAACCGCAGCAACCGCGATTTTTGCGTGTTTTCTTTTTTCGTAAGGCTATGCCCTTCTCGTTTTACACTTCATGCACGTGGACTGAATATTAAAAAGTTAGTAATGATAACATAATGTGTACCATGCTGGTTTGTACAGAGGCTCCGTAGATTTTCACTTAACAAGCCTAAACAGACAGTGAATGAGAGAGAGATCGACTGAGCGCATGCGATTACTTGCGTCTGTCCTCCAGGCAGAGTCATATATATTTGTGAAAATAGGTTGTCATGGTCAAGGAAAGCGAAATCTCTGTCTTAGCATCGACGCATAGCTGTTCAGCTGAGCCTTCTAAAGTGGCGCTCAAAGTTAAAATGATTTCAACAGTGTGTTTCATTACGTCTCTTTGAATGAATGAATCAGCGTTTTTGAACGTGTAGCTGAATGACAGTCCCTTTCCTCCACCTTGTGGCGCAACACTGTAACTGCACTGACTGACAGCCCGTCTAGAACTCGCGCAGGAGGAAATATCAATAGAAAGTCTCTTGTCCAGTCAGATTTGAAGATCAGATTACAACTAGGCTAACTGTTATACATATAGGCTAATGATAGCCTAACGATCTTATTGTCAGGTTTATGTTCGGTTATGTGGACCATTATTTTGTCATTCTCTTCTGTTTACTTCACTTCCTGTTTCAACGCTGTTTGGTTTCGGTTTCATTGTCTTCTGAATATGACCTGGTTAGTCATAACACATAACACACACAAATTATATATTATATATGTGTGTGTGTGTGTGTGTGTGTGTGTGTGTGTATGTATATAAGAAAAACAAAATGAAGACTTTGGGGTGGCCTAGTCAAAGTCCTGACCTGAATCCTATTGAGATGCTGTGGCATGACCTTAAAAAGGCGGTTCATGCTCGAAAACCCTCCAATGTGGCTGAATTACAACAATTCTGCATAGATGAGAGGACCAAAATTCCTCCACAGCGCTGTAACAGACTCATTGCAAGTTATCGCAAACGCTTGATTGCAGTTGTTGCTGCTAAGGGTGGCCCAACCAGTTATTAGGGTTAGGGGGCAAACACTTTTTCACACAGGGCCATGCAGTTTTGGATTTAGTTTTCCCTTAATAAAATAAACTGCATGTGTTCACTTGTGTTATCTTTTACTAATATTTAAATTAGTTTGATGATCTGAAACATTAAAGTGTGACAAACATGCAAAAAAAAAAAAGAAATCAGGAAGGGGGTCAACACTTTTTCACACCACTGTATATATGGCAATAATACCGCATACCGCGCTATTGAGCCACTCAAAATTACCGCAAGGGAAATTCCCTCACCGCGAAAGCCCTAGTTCAGGCTCAATCTCTCATTAAGAACTAAGTCTTTAACAGATGATGGGTAAAAAAGCCATTTAACACATAAGTCATAAGAGCTTTTGGACATGTTAACACTACTTTTTGAATCAGTGTGTAGAATTCATAGCTGGTGTACCTAAGTCTCCAAAATGTGCTGCCTCCATGTGGCTAGGCTGTTTTTTGAGAATAGCAGTGCGGCCGCGGGCAAAGGAGTCCATGTTGGCTGAGATAGCATTGATGGCCACATGGCTGGGTCCTGCTGCATCCAGGATAGCATGATGATTACTGCCGCTAAGAGAGGGGGAGTGGGGCGACACTGGGGCTGGAGAGGAGCACACAGAGCAGGAACATTAACACACAACAGAATTCTACATTTTCCTCCAGTTCCAATCTACAAACCTGTACTGCTAAGCTTGGTAAGAAATGCTTACCATATGCTGATAAACCTAAGCATGTCCTCAACTGGCTACCTATTCATTTGAAGGGATAGTTCACTATAAAATAAAAATTTAGTCATCATCACAAGTCGTTCCAAACCCATCAGACTTTGATTAATCTTCTAAACAAGATTATTTTAATAAAAACAGGTTTCTGTCCCTCTTTTGAAAATCCATGTAATGACACCTTTATGACCTTTTTGTATCTTCTGATTTTTGGTTACCTGGAGTGTCAAAGGAGGGACAGAAACTGCTCAGGTTTCATTTAAAAAAAAAATCTTCATTTGGGTTTTGAAGATTAACCAAAGTCAGTCTTATGAGTTTGGACAATGTAGTTCAAAATCATTACTTTGCAGAGACTTTCCTGAATCTCAAATCAAAAAGCAAAGGATAAAAAAAACATGCAAGTCCCCCCCCCAAAAAAAGCAAGATCTAGTTACATTTTTTAAAAGCTGAACTAATTTTCACTGTGTCATGTGGGAGATGCTGTAAAAGAGTGCAATGATCAAACAAACGTTTCATTTTCACATGTAGGGTCACGAGGAACTAAAATTATATCTTGGTACACATTAACATGGTCTATTGTTCTACACTCAAGCATGTTATGACAACTCACAACAACGTCTGAAAATATGACTAAGATGAAAAAGGACCAACATGAAAACAATTGAGGCTGGAAATGCAAAACACACTGATAAATGTTGTGCATTCAATATTCAGTAAACAGAGTACATAATAAAGTATAACAGAGCAACATAAGCAGAGTAAAGTGGCACAGGGCTCTCACCTTTGCTGGCTTTGGCATCTGCTGGTCTCTCAGGTTCCTTTCCTTTAGCTAGGAGATAAAGAACATAGGAAATATAATTTATAATTTACAGCATCTCTTGTCCTAATGCACCTGACTATTCAGCACAAACATTGCATAAGAACAGTCACCGTCTTTGACACCCAACAATAAAACAAAAAGGCAACAAAAGGGTCAAGCCAATATACACCATTCACATTATACACTATATTCACATTCCTGACTCTTTCCACTTTACGTTTTCTGGATTATTTGCATTGGGTGAGGCCTTGCGTGAGTCTGTCAACAAAAAAACAAAAACAACACCACTGGCAAACAGACAGAATCACATCATGGAGCACAAAACGACAAGAATTTCCATCATTTGCAAGCAAAAAGTGGGGATGATATTTGTTTATACAATGAGCAGCATGCATTACATCATTTCAAATATTTCATAATCCTCTGCTGTGCTCATAACATACATTAACCCACATAGCTCTAACGGATGAAGAAAACTGAGAGTATATTATAAAGACTACAAAGACTGAGAACAAAGAGAAGTGATGCTCCTGTTAAATAGGACACGGGTTAAGAGGGCATCTTTACTTCCCTTAGGGCAGCCACATTGATTAATGCACACTGACTGAAGTCACAGGATACATCTGTATGGTCTTTGTCATGTGGGCAGGGATTCTGGGAATTTGGGAACGATCAGTCACTTTATTTAGTAAAGATACAAAACTACAGATTAATTATTATGGTTTATTAAGTATGAACAACTAAAGACAACAGCGTTCCCACCCATTTTGATCAATGAATTCTCATTATTTTTCTAGCTATGCGATTACTTTTTAATCACAATCTTAAAATTCCCTGACATTTCCAGGTTTCTATGATTATGGGAATTCTGTAGAAGAGAGGTTTAAAAAAAGGATGGACCACTAGGCCTCCTAGTGGTTTCCAACTTGGAGGCCTCAGCAAACTTCCAATGGCAGTCTTATAATTATTTCAATTCAATTATATTAACTTAATCTTATTCAAAATGCTAAAACATGCATTGCAACAGAAGTACATTCCAGTTTAAGATAGCGTGGCACTTAAATATTGTCTTAGACAAAAAGGCCCTTGGTGTCAAAATGCATTGCAATGTTACAGTTACAGTATTTCCCCAAAAAAACAAAACATCAGATCAAAGAATGTCAATGTCAATGAAATGCACTCCTTGTCAAAACAAATTCCAAAGCAATTCTAATTGGATCAAACAAGAATACACCTAGAGTTCATTCAGTAGGATTCTATGATTCTCAAAATCATTTTGGTTTCATTCTATTATGGAATTCCAACATGAGGATTTCCTGACAGACGACTGACACTACATCATGCACGTTACTTGACCGTTTAAGCGAACATCGAAGACACAACGGGGTTTTTACTTTTTCAGTTAGCAACAGGAATTTTAACGATAACATGCAACTATAATTAACAAAAAATTCTCACATTTGGTAACCTAAAATAACAAAAACGTGCACTTGAAACGGGATTATCCCATCTCTCTAGAGTTGATGTAGACGGTGTGTGCAAAAGACAGCAATGCCTAAGAGGAATTTCACGGCCATTACAAAGAATAAAAGAGTTTTAATGTCACATTCATGTGGTGGACATGAGCTCAGCATCGGTCCAGAAAAGCCCATACTATCCGGCTACGACCCCATCATCATCGAGCGGAGCACTTCCTTACCTTTCCGTCTGAAGAACGACATGATGAATCTGAAGCTGTGAACGCTCGCTCAGCTCAGAGACAACATCCCGACAGCTCCCGAGTCCCTTCATTCATAACACTCTATCGTGCACAGATTTCGCTTTGATTATCCACATCTGCAGTCACTGACAAAACCGAACAATGTCCAGTCCCCTCTCAGCTGGTCCGGTCGCCATATTGTCAATAAACGCCTCACTTCCGGAGTGTGTAGCACAGCGCTTCTGCTGGAATTATGGGAAAAGGCCTGACAAATGAAAAGACTTCATTCCTATACATGCCACATAAGGTGTCTTATTTATAATACCTCTTGAATAATATACTGTATAATCAAATGGCATGACATCTCAAGCAGTGGCAGTGGGGTCCTGTAGGGTGACATCTGTATCTGCATTACTCCAGTCATTGTAGGATGGACATTACAAATGAATCATGGTCTTTTACAACTTAATAATTGCGTAAAAGCATTCTCAAATAATTGATTCTTTAGTTAAATGTTTGGGATATGTACTTTTATATTGCCTTGTGTGTGCTTTGACAGATGAGTCTGGTTTGTCTCAAGGATTTTTTTTCCTGCCTATTCACATAACCATCTGGTATCCTTACAGTATTCATCTTTTTCTTGCTTTAAAGCAGTATGTATGATGATGATGGTATGTATGTATGGTGTATTTAAATGAGTTGATTTAGCTGATGATTTTCATGACCTTATTAACACTGTGTGGAATATTTGTCATCAAGGCTATATAACAGCAAATTACAAATGGAATTAAAATGTCGATTGGTAAACTTATCAAATGTACGTTTACATTTTCATCATATCCCTATGTCCTGGGTCATTCAGATTATGCATTGCTATATTAACACCTTGTGGCATAGTTTATTGCTATTTTATTTCTTAAATGTACAGGGACAAAGTCTGTGCTTCCACCTTTTAGATAGAGCACCAATGAATGAAAGACAAAACACTTCACCATAAACATCTTTTATTGCATGAAAATCTTGGAACAATGCCAAAATAGTTCGTAAAATTGTGCGATGTGCAGAGGCAAACAGAGAAAAACAAAAAAAAGACATGTCAAAAGTAGGGTTGCAAAGGGGTGGAAAATTTCTGGTAAATTTCCGGAAACTTTCCAAAAATCCCTGGAATATTCCAAAAGAAATCCTGGAAAATTTCTGGAATATTTCCGAAATTTACTGGAAATGTTCCACCTTTTTGCAACCCTAGTCAAAAGTACCTCATCGTGACATGTTCTATTCAAATTCTGTCTAATTTTATAATTTCCCTTTTTATTTTCCTTTATTATTTTCAACCGTTAAAGCGTTAATCTGAAGCAGTATACATAGGGAGTTTCCTGCTCCGAGTGTCTTCTCCCGGGAAGAGCTGAGAGCATCAAGCAACATCCGTGCTGAAAACACTTTGGACGTCACCATCATTGTTGCACTGCCCAGGAGTCCAACAAACAGAGAAGAAAAACTGCTGAGAAAATATAAGACAAATTAGAATTAGAAGAAAGACAGAAATACAAGAAGAGGAGGTGTTAAAGGGATAGTCCACCTAAAATTGACAATTCTGTCATCATTTACTCACCCATGTTTTGTTCCAAGCCTGTACGACTTGCTTTCTCCTTTGGAACACAAAAGAAGGTATTTTGAAGAATGTTGGTAAGGAAACAGTTCCCACTGATTTCCACTGTATTTTTGTCCATACGTAGAGGTCAGTGGGAACCGATACTGTACATTCTTCAAAATAACTTTTTACATTCCACAGCAGAAATTCATACAAGTTTGGAACGACACGAGGGATAGTAAATAACAGCAGAATTTAAATTTTTAGGTGAACTATCCCTTTAATGTGTGTATTTTGCTGGTATTACATCAAAAAGTGTGTGTTCACGGTTTGTGTGTGTTCACTGCTGTGTGTGTGCACTTTGGATGGGTAAATGCAGAGCACTAATTCCGAGTATGGGTAACCATACTTGGCCACATGTCACGTCACTTTTCACTCACAAAAGGCTCTATGTCAGATTATTCTCACCTCTATGATCAGTTCATGCTTATTTCCCCATGGCCTGCTCAATGGCAGTCACAACTGCCTTGAATTTGGACTCCGAGTCAACAAATCCATCTCTATTCTGTCAAAAGAAAATATTGGCCAAATGTAAAATACTATAGATGTACTTTGCCATATTAGACTTTAGTAGCACACAGGTCAATCAAAAATACTATACTGTGCAACGGTTAAGACATGATGTAACTCTACAATGAAGTGCAATTTAAGTGAGAAACGGTATGAAGGCTGCATCTGTGACACATTATGGTAAATGCAATATATATAACTGTGAACTCTGAGAGTAAAGAAGTAAAAGAAGATACATATTTACCTTCTTTGAGTGCACCAACTTGTTGTTTACCTCCACCTCAAACCAGCCTGTGGTTGAGGGTGTGCCCTCACCAGTCTGAGTATGGGAGATAATAGAAAAATTTGAAAGATAAGTATAAGAAAACAATATGTTGAGCATTTGTACATGCACATTTAACAATACATGTTTACTTTTCAAAATTACAACATCATAAACAACTGACAATCATATAAACCACATACAATCTCAAGTTCGCCTGGGAATTCATCCTCAAGCAACGTCTTGAGTTTGGTGAACTGTTTGCAAAACAGAAGAGACAGAAGTCATATAGAAGGACAAGATTCTCCCACAAGTTTTATATTGTGTTGTATTGTATTGATCATGTGAGTAAATAAAACTTACCTTGGGCCTGTATCCTCATCCACCACTAGGAGATGACAAACACACACAATCATTTAAATGACATTCACCTCATTGGTCAAAAAGTAATTTGCATGGTAACTAGCAACTAGAATAAGCGAATGCATTTATTTACAGTAACCTTCCGGATTCCAGTCTTGTGAGCTACAAGACATGGCTCACAAACATGTAAAGAAAAACGATTTCATCTGCGACGGTATTGGACGATACTGCTGAACACAGAGAAACGCAAAACATAACGAGCGAAGCAACTACTGCAACGATTTTGTCGTGGTTAGTTCCTGACATTAAAAATTAAATGCTTTAATCGGTTAAATCCACAGGTTTTTTCGAACAAGTTGAATTTAGCGTGTAGTTTAAGCCAGTCGTTTGGATTCTTAAAATAAAATAAAAAGGCGGATTAAGCCTCATCAGTGTAGCGAAAAATACAGTGTAATACCAGTAAATGATGTGAACTTTGACGGTCATCCTGACAGCTGCTGCGGGGCTTGACTGGATCGAGCGGTGGTTGTTCTGTGGCGTGTGGTGCAGACGCTGAACTGAGCGAAATGTTTCGGTTCTGGTAAATATTTTAATGCCGTTTCCTGTAATGTTAGGAAAGATCTGAGGCGGGGCAAGTGGAGAATTCTGCACCACCAAAACACACCCCTCGCGAGACTTTATCTACTTCCGGTGCACTGCACTACCATTTAGCTAAGGGTGTTTACCAAACAAGGGAATTTGCAATATAGTTACACAATTTTGTCACTTCACATGATATTTGCCGTCAGCCGGGTATTTTCTCAAAATAAACAGGCAGTTTAGGACTTGACATTTTATTCTGCTGGAAATGGACTTGACTCGAAATGTTGATATGCACTAGTTCATAGGTTTCCTGAATAGGTCTGTTGTATGTGTGATAGTGGTCAGTCATTATTACATATAATAATATACAGCCTCTACAAAGTAACATCTCACATATATGCTCAAAATCATAAAGAAAATATTTTGCTACAGCTCATGAACACACAAAGAGCTCTAGCATTCAAGTTCAATTACTTATTGACCAACAGTTTTTTTAAGGAACAAAATTTCACTTGACAAATAGTATTTGAAATGCTACAAAGCACTTTTAAGTGTTGACATTTGTGTGCCTCATAGCCACAGTCTCGAGGGCGTTTCAGCAACTAGCCAAGCATGTTTTAGACTAGAGGATAAAAGCTGTTTCTCAACCCTTAGGCAATCTGAACCATCAAAACAACTTGCCTTTTGAGATTGTTTCTGTCTGTGGATGATTTATACACGCACCCTTTGCAAGCTGTTAGTGATTTTAGGTATTATACAATTGAATACATTATTATTAATATTATTCATGACTTGAATGTTGAACAAACACTGTCTTCATAAATATTAAGACATGCAGACTAGTCATTGTCTCTCTTCTCTGTGCCAGAGTTCTTGCGCTGTCTTTTGGATGGTGGCACCAGTTGTGCAGGTAGCTCATGAGGGAGCCCGAAGCCCTCCAACTTTACCTCAATGAGATGGCCGGCCAAAGCAAACTCTTCATCATCTAACATGCCATCGCGGTCCACATCTGCAAGCTTCCAGATTCTTCCCAGAACCGAGCTGGGCAGACGAGTGCTCATCATCCAGCCCTTCACTTTAGTCCCACTCAGCTTTCCCTCATGAGGCGAGAGGTTGTAAAAGATCTCATCATACTTTGGTTTATCTTTTGATACCACCCATTCTTCATCTGAGACATGATCATTGTCTCCATTGGATCCATAGTGATTAAATGGGTTCCCCTCAGTAAAAGGTCCGCTGTGTGACCCTAGAAATGGTCCTCGTTGCACTAATAGTTTGTCAGCTTGATCTTCTTCTTGGCGTAGAAGAGGCATCAGCTTGGCTATGTCCATGTTTAGGAGCTCATCCAACCCAGCTAAGAGTTTAGGCTTGAGGCCTTTAAACTTGAAGTCATGACTCATGAGTTGCTCCTGTGTGTGATGTGAGAATGCTTATCAGACAGATATCATATACGGTAACTTAATTTGAACTCATATGCTTATAGTAGTGGCAGAAAATACATTTCATACGGGACATGCTTGATTATAAAGTATCTGAACACCTGCATCTTGGCGCAGTCTGGAAAATCTCCAGGTGAAATCTGATATCTCTGCTGGATTCTTGAATAGATGATGGGAAGGTCATAGATTAGATCTCTCTTCTTCTTTTCTCTGCAGAAAACTAAAGGCATTTCTTCTTTTAAAGAGCTAATGATATAAGCATGGGCCTGTGGGTGAAAAAAGATTAATGTTTTAGAAGGACTATAGCAACTGACCTAAACAAAACAAGCAGGTAGATGCAGAACAATTTCAATCACAGCAACTACATTAGTCACAAAGTGTTTTTTTTCTCAAAAAGAAACCTTTCACACATTTCATATGTTCTGACCTTCAAATGAATCACACAGTTATTTAAAGAGATACATTTTCTGCATGTGATAAACAGATTTAATTTAGACTTTTTCACATATAAACATTGATCAACATTTTTTTTTTTTGCTTTATTTCCAATTGAAAAAGGAGGTTGTATTTTTTTTTTATTAAAAAAGCTAATAAAAGTTAGTTTACACCACATCATGATTTGCTACTGTATATCACTAGTCAAAGTAGGTGGTATGTTGACATGTCATAATTATTTTTTATTCTTTTTCTAGAGAGAGACTGTACAATGACAAATTTGTCAACGTTTCTGAATTCACTAGCATATAGATGTCCTCAAAGCTATAGACATAATAGTTACTGAAGTCCAATAGTGATTTCATGGAACCAAATGAAGAGTGGAAAGCACAGGGGTCCTCACCCTCACAAGTCGTGCTCGTTTCACCAGATCATTGAGTTTTCTCAATGCAGAATTTCGTGGCAGGTTCTGAATGCCTGCAAAAAGGTCTTCTTCTTCTTGCTCAAACAGTTTCCGATTGTCTGTCGTACGCATTGGAGAAGACCAGAAGGAGCCAATGTAGACCCTCAGAACCTCTGGTGTGCAGAACACCTTCCCGAGGGACCACATGAGGGCGCCGTAGACTAGCATCAGCTCCTGGGAGTCCACCATGTCGGCCTTGTTGAGCACCACTCTGAGCTTGTCCTCGTTGCCTCGCAATGCCATTATAGTGTGTGAAAACTCATCAGAGATCTCTAGTTTGTGTGCATCACACAAGAGGATAATACGGTCAACGTGCTCCGCAAACCAGCGGATGACCGCCGGAAAGTCATACCCTGAAAGAAGAATAAGAAGAAATTCACAGGTGTTGGATCAGATATATCAGACACTATAGTGTCACATAATGTGCACCAAAGCGCACTGCGATCTTTTAAGGGCGACATCAGTGAGAAGAAATTAAACTCAACCTCTGTACACTCTTTTAAGAATAAAGGTTCCAAAGGAGGTTTTTGCAGCAACACCACAGAAGAACTATTTTTGGTTCCCCAAAGAACATTTAAGTGAATAGTTAAGAACATTTTAATACCACTATAAAGAACCTTTTGAATGGTTCCATGGATGTTAAAGGTTCTTCATGGAACCATAGATGCCAATAAAGACCTTTTATTGAGTGTACTTATATGAAGTATAAAAGATTGTCTAGGTTGCATAGCTATTATGATTTGCATGCAAGTTGTAATTAGGCTATTACAGCACACTTTATGACACTTCGTACCTCTGCTTATTTTGCGTTTGGCCACAGACAGGATCCCTGGTGTGTCAATGATGCTGATACTCTCTAGGACTGGGTTGGGTAGATGTACACACTGGAATCTGAGAAAGTTTCATGCAAATTCAATATCTTTCAAATTGACAGAACATGGGAAAACCCCATCCACAGATGCTCCCTTAAAGGGATGCAGTCAGCTGAGCCAAATCATGATACATTAGCTAATGTTTTCCTCTCTTGACTATGTCCACCCTTTTACAAGAGTGATTTCTGCTGGTGGAGTGATTTTGACTCTTTCAGTCCAAGTTTAACTTCTTATTGCGTTACTGCTTCTGTCTCACTCACCGATTGAGGAAGGTTGTTCCAAACGGGCTGAGTTTGCGGAAAGGCTTGTTGGAATCTACAGTTAAAGCATTCCCATGAATAATTCCCTCAATCTCTCCATGCATTATAGCAGTGAAACTGTCAGTTGTGGGTTCTGGGCCTATTCGGCTTCCTGGATACTCTTGTTCAAGAAGATATCTGCCACACATATGACACAAATTGCTTAAAGTACAAGATGTGTGAAAATCTCTGGTGCCATAATTCACTTATAATATAATACAATATAAATTGTAAAATGGGGGTGAACTTACAGATGAACCTTAAATTTTTTCAAAATATATCAGATTACCTGTATACAGATGTGAAATTAATCTTAATCATGCTATTATGCTTTTATTTTTATATAGCCATTTGATTAATTCACATGTAACAAATTTTAAAAAGTAAATTTATTTGTATAGCACTTATTATTGTGTATATTCTTCAGAAGCTAGATGCAATTATTGCAATACTCACCTGATAAAAGTGGTTTTGCCTGTAGAGCACTGACCCACCACTAGTATCATGGGCTTGTTGTCAAAGTCTGCATCTTCAAGGCTTGATGAGTGGAAATCAGAGAAGCCATAATACTTCTCCAGCGGGAGCAGTTTTTGCCGGTAGAGGGTCTTCAGAGCTTCAGAAACTGTATGAACTTCCTTCAGACATTTACCACCCCTGTTCTTCATTTCTTTGCCAGCCATTGAGCTACTGTGCTCTGAGAGTTTCAGTAGAAGATTTTCCTTCCTACGTGGAGATGCATAATAATACATATTTTAATATACCAGTTTATCTCACTACTGTGACATGTAGTGTTTGACATTTCGTTTGTTTAGCTGTCTTGGCATGTCAGAAGGAAGAAACCCCAAGATTATAAACATAAAGACAGAGAACAGCGGGATTTAAATGAGCCAAAGTCATGGAGTCCAAGTACATAATAGTGTAAGAATGACTGTGCAGTATCATAGTGGTTTCAAAAACTACTCATGTTGCTGGTCCAAATCTATCTCAGCATATTTCAGTCAATACATTGTTTAATCATTCATTATTAATTGACTATGGCATTTAACATTATACTGCATACTTTTAAAGATCACACTGAACAATCAGAATGTAGCTGGACTCACTTCTACAGTGTCGTAGAGCTAACAGATGTGTTCTTAATAGTTACCCTAGACACATCTGTATAACAGAGGGGAGTAGCCTACTCTTTCTTGGGACTCTTTCAGATTTGCCTTATGGGAAGAAAGTGGAGGTCCAAGTGGGTGGAGTGAGACATATGAAGCATTCAGGAATGATAGTGTCATGGCATCTGGTGTCTGGAGCTCAGCCTCAGAGCTCATAAACATGCTGGATGTGGATGTGGACCCAGAGCCCATGAATATGTTTAAAGGACAAAACCACAGAGGGTGGAAACCAGACTGTGGGGATTATTTAATATTACTTCATAATAGAGGCATTGTTTTATGTTAGATTTTGTAATGCAAATAATTGCAAAAGCACTGTAATGTAAGCTTTTATAAATATAAATAATTACAGTGCTTAGACGATAATCGGAAGCAGATCTTGTTTAAATCTTAAATTACAAATGTAATCTATTGGTTTAAAAGAATGATTACAAAATTTATTTTTGCAATAATGGTTACTGCTCAACAAAGGTAATCACACGCACGCACACACACACACTTAAATTAGTCATATTTAAAAAATTTAGAAAAATGCCTAAACTGAATGCTAAAGCCACATCTGGAGCTCCTACCTGTTTACAGCCAGTTGGGATTTTCTTCATGGATGCAACAGCAGTTGTAGTTTACTTTATCACGTCTCTTCTTCCTTCTTGGTCAAATTGCACTTTTTAAAAGTTGAGGCATTCGTTTTGAGTATTTGTAGGTTTTAGAGGGTGTTGGTGTGTAGATGTCTATTGTGTGCAGAGATCCGATGCTGGATAAAGAGAAATATCCACCTCCCCATTCAGAAACTGTAAAGCTGTCAGCATCATCAACCATTTTCCACGCCTGTTCAGCACAGTGCGTCCCCCTAGTTCTGTTTTCTTATATTACGTGTATAATTTACTGAGACATTATAAGGGAGAGGTCTGAGTAAGCCTTTAAATCATTAGGCCTATACTGAGATTACCAACTATTATCATCCTTTTTATCTGGGAAAGTGATCACTGAATGCAACTAATTACACGCAGGCAATATGTCGGAGAAAAGATCAGTCAATTCTCACATACTTTACTATCAAACTGTTCTCACAACAGTTCAACAGACTTTTGACAATTTCCCCACATTTAGCTGCTACAAATTAGGGTTAAATATATAATTATTCAATCTATAGTTATCTTTAAACTATAAATCAATATCAGTACAAAGAGTGCTTTTGTTATAACTTCCTCTAGGATTGAGATGTAACAGTATGGTTTATTGCATTAATGGAAAACATGGAAATCAGTTAGAATTTTGTACATGCATTTATTTTTAATCAAAAGTACTTATTATTATAATAAGTACCAATTTATTTTATACCAACCCCTAATTATTCCCTTCTGCCAATTCCACCCATTTCATTTGAGGTATTTCGCAGAAAATGGTGAAAAAAAAAGTATTCAAATCTTAAATATCTAAAATATTCAGCCACATTACCATACAATTTATTTATAAATTTTTGTATACCAGTACCATGCAAATAAATATGAGAACTGTTAATAAAATGGGCTCAATTACAAATGCCATATGATGATTTCTAGTTGATTTTTGTGCTTGCTTGCTTATTTGTTTGTTTGTTCATAGTATGTTTTATTTATTTGTCATAAGATCAAGCAGGAATTATCCATAATTTATATTTGACTGTCAAAAGGAGAAGCACATTAAAAACAAAAACAAAAAAAATCTAAATATGTTTGTACACAAAAAGTGTTTTTTTTACAATGTTCCTATTTTTTTTTAAGTAAATCTATTCAGTGTAATTAGATCAGTGTAAATTTTTACCTGTAGGCTTTTCTATTTTTCTCCCCTCTTGTGCTTCGTGTTTTGATCCACCTATGAATTAAACAACCCAACTGACCGCTGAAATAATCATCAGCCCAAGCCCAAAACGACATTTAAAAAAAAAAGTAAGATTACTGCACTCTTGCAACAGTTTGTTTGTACGTTTTGCTCAACTGAATGAATCGATTCCTCGAATCAACTTGAATCGATTCCTCGAATCAACTTGAATCGAACAGACACTTCAAGACCCGCTCAATAACGCTCGCCGAGCTAGCATATAATAAGTAATTAGCAAACTTTTGACGGGACACGCAACTAGCTTGGTAAAGACGTATATGTTGATTTTTAAACCATTAAATCGTCTTATTCATTTTACATGTACGCTTTATTCGATTTGTGTTATACATTACGATGTTAGGTTTGCATGCATTTTTTAAATGACTTGAGACTACGAACTCCCTTCCCACACAGGAATTATGAGCTGTTCATATTCAGGGGGAAATGCTTTTACGTTACCTGTTAAAATGATATCGTTTTACTTCCATTTCCGTTGGTAAATTAAAATATCTTTCCCTTGTTCCTTTCGATGTAACGTTATCTCGCGAGATTGTGTTAGTGAAACGTTTTTACGTTGTTGACCGAAATTGATAGTTATATATTAAACAGTGGTTCTAAATAACCGAATTCAAACCAGAATTTATGTCTTTCTCGTTTGATACAGAAAGCAGAAAGACCTCCACATCCTGCCCATCAACCTCTGTCTGTGTTAAAGCAGAGGATGTTGAGTGCCTGACACCCGTGGGCTCAGGGAAGAGAACCAGAGTCTCGGTGAATAAGTGCCATGTCTGTAGGAAAGAGTTTAAAACCACCAGTGCACTTAAAACACACTTCTTGATCCACAGACAGGACGGGCCTCAAATCTGTGGTGTCTGTCAGAAAGCATTTAAACACCATCATCAGCTGTAAGTATCACACATGCTGGCATCTGAGTTTTTAAATTGAATAATGTATTTTTATATTTCACAAAGTTTGCAACAAGCTGTAAGTTATACATATATAATATATAAATCATAATTACTAGAAAATGATGGTATGCAAAACATTATTGACTTGTTTGTAGTTTTCAACTACGACAAAAATGTTTCAACTAAACTGTTTGTGTTAGTCAAATAACATTATCTTGGCGACAAATCATTAGAATGTACAAAAACAATGTGCAATACATCACAAAAAACAATTTTGAAAAGATGTTCGATTTTCAGTGGAGCAACACAACACTGACCCAAAGTGCTCTCTCGCCATCCTTATTTTCAAGCCCTGCTTACTATGTAAATGGTCTAAATGTCATCACTTACAAAACTGAGAGTGTGGGAGGTCAGTCAAAAAATGTAGATTTAGATTAACAACTTGGAATTGCAGCATGGATAAATCGTGTTTTTTAGGGATGCACCGATATGAAAATTTTGGTCGATACCGATAACCGATTATTCTTTATTTTTGAAAGCCGATAACCGATATGTTGGCCGATAAATCTATATCCAAATTGTTATATACTTTTTGAGAGCCTGATTACAAAAAAGGTCTCATCATTAAAAGCCACATCCCAAACACTTCAACATAAGCAGCCTAGTTTGAACGGTGTACGTTTTAAAAATATTTTTACTCTCCCATTACCAAATTTAGTCATAAAAAAAGTCTTACAAATAAATAAAATAATGCATAAATAATGCAAACAAGTCACTGGACATCATTACACATGTAAAGAATCAAAATGAATGCGCCACAGATCAATAAAACAGAATAGCCTCTGCACGGACAATAATTAAATGATTTTAATTACTAAACCATATTGTTGATGAAAATAATAAGAGAAAAATACAAGTGGTTGTTGTTATTAATAATATATCAATGATTTTGAAAAAGTAACAAATTAATACCACTGTTTTAAATAGCAGCCATTGAGCTGCACGTGCTGAAGCTGAAGAGCTGAATGAACACGGTAAACTGAAGCGTTTTGCTGGCAGCTTATTTAACTCAAGGAAATGCATCCTGAGATTAATATTAATACAACATAAACATAATATTACAACTTATATATGAAATGACAAATGACGCAGTTATTGCATGCTATAGTCAGAATGTGTGATCCTGTTGTGGATGCGCTCTTCCCATAACAACGCGCTGAAACACGGCAACTAAACCCAAAGAATTCACAACGTTTTATTATAATAATGTTCTCATTAGAATGTTATATACACGACATTCCCAATCATAGTTATTAATGTTGTGCACTGCTGTTTGAGCTGCGTGCGCTGAGCTAAAGACGATCACCGGTAAACTGAAGCACTCTTAACTTAACCAAACGCATTCTATATGAGATAAATCAGATATACATCAAATAAACACAATATTACAATGTACAATTGCACAAAAGGCTGCAAACAAACAGCGCGCATCTGAAGTGTCTCTGAAGGAAATAATGCATTATTTATCGGCTTTAAGATATCGGCCAAATTTTCTTATCAGGCCGATACCGATAACAGAAAAAATGAGCCGATATGGGCCGATACCGATATGGTGGCCGATATATCGTGCATCCCTAGTGTTTTTTAATAAGATCGTATCACAGTGTCAGTATTTCCTTTTTCTCCGTAGCACTTCCCACATGATGACCCACTACAAGAGGAAGACCTATTACTGTACTCAGTCTGGCTGCCACAAAACCTACAATGACAAAAACTCCTTAAAACATCACTGTGCCTCTCGACACGGAGTCTACCGTACGTCTCCTTCCTCCTCCAGCCTCGCTTCCTCAGCTATGACCTGCCGGCCTTAGTGTGGGAGCCAATGGCTGTGTCCGACTACCTCTTTACCTCTCAGCCAAAGCCAGTTGCAGCTCCTGTGCTAAAGAATCCCAGTTACTCTGGAAAACTCTTCGGTTCTTATGGCAGGGGAGAGCTCGGGATGAGGCGCTATGCAGAAGATGCCCATCCCTCTCAGGTGAAACATTCAACATGTCAAGAAAGCTGGACTTTAGCATCTGCCAGTGAATCTTATAAGGTTAAAGAAAGCAATAAGATGCTAAACTCCACCCAGTGGACCCTGGGTATTGACGCTGTTGAAGAAAATCCAGTGGTTTCACAGAACCCATTTGATGTCCATGGTCTTGATTTTCATGAATCTTACCCTGAAGAATGGAAAGAGATGCTGTCATTTCAGCCTAACATTGAGGCACCTATCACTAGCGTGGGTTGCCCCATGAGGCCACGAGCTTCAGTTTGCCCCAAGCAGCATCGTCCCATACTGCTGAAACACAGTCTAAAGGAGCCCAGACCTCCCAACAAGTTAAAGCGACGGCATACCTTTTCCAGTTTTAATCATTCCACTGAATTATACCCTGAACCAAAGAGTGATTTTGACTGTAACCTGGCCAATCCTGTACATGCTTCCCCTCCTGCAACATTGCCCAACAGTAGGAAGAGGAAGTTTTGCTCTAAGGACGTCCTGTCTAATGTTCCAACTCCTCTGCCTGTTCCTCAGCCCACTTGTCATAAACGTTCACGATCACGCTCTTCCTCCCTCGTCTCACCTAGTCAGGTGGCACTTGCATCTTTCAGCACTTACCTCGGCAACCAGTTTTTACAAAAGGTACACAACATTGCACTTTTTCATATGTCACCATTTTTTTTTTTTTTATATATATATTTATTAGTTTTCAAACATTACAAACATAACAAACATGTACAAACTTTAAGATTTAACATTATCAGTATATATTAAACATAATGCAATCCAAATGTATAATTTGAATGATGTAGATGTCAGCCAAACAAGCGGTGAGCCAAGAAAAGGAACAGAAAATAACAAATGAACAAATACAAAGAACTTGAACAGGAATGATTAAACATCAACGAAGTTATACACTTTACCTCCCGTTGCACAACGAGAGCATGTCACCATTTTTTAAAGAGATAATAAATTTTGCATTTCTTTACTCAGGAGCCAATTATTAAATCAACAGGAGAGGAACCAAACTCTGGTTGCAGGTTAGAAAGTTATCACGCTGACTTGAGGGCAATTTTTAATCTATGTAATAGTAATATGTAATATTTCGGAAAACTGAAAAAGTAGAAAAATATGTATCAAAAGTTTTATTTTTGTTTTTTAAAGACTTTTTTTCAACCTTGAAATCACAATTGTACACATTTTTTTGTTATTTTGTGGTTTCCACAACTGGGGGAACCCTAACTATTGAAATTCAGTCATTTGAGCCACTTTATGGTACCTTTAAAGAGCTTTTTTTGTCAGTTTTGGAGCTTGACAGCTGCAAGTCACTAGAAAAGAGCAGCATGAAAGTGAGTAATTAATGACAAAATGTAAATTTTTGGTAAACTATTCCTTTATAGAGCTGCCTCCACTATGGTATTGTATGTTTTCTAGCAGACCTACCATAAGATCTGAATATATAGATATTCTAAATCATCAGGTCTATGATAAAATCAAAGTTGAATTTAATCTGGTTTGTTTCCCTGTAGAACATATAAAAGAACTTCATCTATACGTAGAGCTCAGTCGCAGCCCTCATGTTCTCAAGAGAGCGTCTCTGGTGGAACAAAGGAGGAGCATAATTCACAACCATCCACCTCAACACTGGTGCTGACATTGTCTTAAGTATTATTGTGACAATCAAACAATATGAAAATAAGCACAATACTTGCACTGACTCTTTATCTTATCTATTTTTTTTTGTCACAGAATGAAGGACAGAAGGGGGCTTCAGGACAAAAGTCCAAAGGAACAAACCTGTCCCCACTGATCATGCCTGTGTCTGTCCCAGTCGCTGTGACAAATGTTTTAGGTCCCCAAGCCTCTACTTATCAAGTAATGTTGTAGTAGATAACAATATAATATCAATATACAGTGGAAATGCCAAGATGACTTATCATTGTTCAAAGTTCAATGTTTCTGTCTTTCCTAGGCCGAGAGGTCACAGACTCGTAAAGGTGCAGCTAAGAGGTCTCGTCATCTTGACCCTTTAAACTGCCTCATCATCCCCAGTCCAACTCTGCCTCGACTATCTTCTCCACAATGCACCGATAATAAGGATACCCAGGGTTTGCAGAGAAGCTGTGGCACGGGCGGTTACCCCAGCCAGCTGCGCTCGCCAAACTATCTGACAGACCACCCACTGAGCCCTAGTTTTCATCCCCCACCCTACACCCCTCAGCCAATGCTGAGCCCTCTCCGTCTTGGGACAGGCCTTTACTCTAAAAGCCTACCGCAGCATCACCAATGCCCATCTCTTCCCAGCACCCTCGGTGAGCACTAAACCCATGATTTCAGCTTTGACTGGATTCCTGATTGATGCACAGTTAACTTTTGTACAGCATAAAGAAAAATTATGTAAATGCCGTTTCATTGTAGCTCCAACTTCTTGCCAGATTATTTTAACTTTGAACCCCACAGGTGGTGTCTCCTTCCCAATTGACAACACAGTCACCAGCATACAGCCGTGAGTCTGTAATAAATTCATTTGTATAAAGTTTTTAATTAGTCCACCAAGTTAGACATTATTGCAGTTATGATCTATCTATTATGCATCTTAGGTCTCTATAATATCTTTTTATTATAGCAAAATACTACTTTTTATAATGTAATACCAGGAAACAGTTTGATTACACTTGACTGAATGATCTAAAATATTTTTATCTAAAGAGTTGTGTTTAAATGTATAGACAGGTGTGTGGCTTTCCTAATCAAGTTCAATCAGTATAATCAAACACAGCTGGACTCAAATGAAGGTGTAGAACCATCTCAAGGATGCTCAGAAGAAATGGACAGCACCTGAGTTAAATATATGAGTGTCACAGCAAAGGGTCTGAATACTTAGGACCATGTGATATTTCAGTTTTTCTTTTTTAATAAATCTGCAAAAATGTCAACAATGTGTTTTTCTGTCAATATGGGGTGCTGTGTGTACATTGAGGAAAAAAAATTAACTTAAATGATTTTAGCAAATGGCTGCAATATAACAAAGAGTGAAAAATGTAAGGGGGTCTGAATACTTTCCGTACCCACTGTATATTAGGGTGGCCCTTATTTTTGGACTTTTGAAATCTCCTGCTCTCACCTGCCCAGTCAACTCCCCTTCATGAGAAATGGAAACTTCCAACGTAGTCAATCTCTTCATGAGATTTGACTATGTTTGGGGTGTGCTCAGCAAAATTGAAATTCTGTTTTAATGCCCATAACAGAACGCAATTAATAATTATACAAGACCATTAGTAAACAGTGAATTAGGTTAAAAACGAGAACACAGAACAGTGTTGTTAGACCGATCTTTGAAAAATTGCGATCTGATCTAGATCGTGATGGCAATCCGACATGTCCTTCAGCTGCAAAGTTTTTGAAGACGTAGAAGCAGAATGCTAAAAAGTGAAATTATTGTACTGGTGAAGAAAGTGAACTTTGAACAAAACTGAGATCTGATCTAGATAAAGTATTTATGAGAGCATCATGAGAGGTCGGGTGGGCAAAGAATTGACCTGCACCTTAATGGGAGTAGAGATAGATTTAAGCACGTAGCAGGGTTTGGGCCGGAGAGTAACACTGCAGTGACCAGGTCCAAAACGATTGCAATTCACATCCACTGAGAGCATGCGCAAATCTCCTATGTGCTTAGCCGAAGCAAGGGCAAGAAGCAGAGCAGTTTTGAGGGAAAGGTCCCTCATAGCAAAATAATCCAGGGGCTCAAACAGGGGTAGAGAAAGAGCTTTCAATACCAGTGCTTGGTCCCACGGCGGCACTGAAGGTGGGCATAGGGGATGTTATCTCCTTGCTCCCCTGAGAAATCTGACCACCAGCGCGTGCTTCCCAATCGATTGCCCATCAATCGGGAAATGAAACAAAGCAATAGCGTCCACATAAACCTTTAGCGTTGATGGCAGGTTCATGTTATCGAGCTTGTGCTGCAGAAAATGTAGAACATCTGACACGGGGCAGCTTGGCGGGTCGATATCTTCATCACAGCACCATTTAATAAGCACTCCCCATTTAAGTGCATACAAACGCCTAGTAGAAGGTGCACAATACTCAGAGATCGTGTCAATCACACGGAGAGGCTTAGCTCCTCTAGGATCCCTGAAGTAGCCACACGTGCAGACTCCACAGCTGCCATATCGAGCCGTCCGCTTGAGACAGTAGGTCCTTTCTGAGAGGAATCTGCCAAGGCGGAGCCACCAGCATCTCCCTGAGGTCCGGAAACCAAAGTTGATTTGGCCAGTTCAGGGCCGTGAGGATCACTGATGCCTTCTCTTCCCTGATTTTGCATAATACCAGAGGCAAAAAAAAAGGCCGGCTCTTGGCCAGCACGACGTCAGAGCGTCCACCATCAGCGGGGAGTGGGACAGTGAAAAGAACACTAGACAATGTGTGTTCTCGCTCGTCGCAAACAGATCCATCTCCTCCTTCCCGAAGCGATCCCAAATCATCCGGACCATCCATCCATCACCAGCCTCCACTCTCTGTGAGGAATTCTGTTCCTTCAAGAACATGTCTGCTCCACAGTTTAGGAGACTGGGGATATGTGCTGCTCTGATAGAGAGTAAATGACCATAATAAAAGATTCGTACCCTGCTTGAAAAAGGCTCTGGAGCACACACTGCCCTAGCGATTTATGTACGAAACCACAGACATGTTGTCGGTGCAAATCAGCACATGCCGCTGCTCCAACTGCGGCAGAATGGCCATTACAGCTAAGGATAGCGCCTTCAGCGGTTTATGTGCCACCTGCTCTGAGATTCTGACCACAGGCCTGAAGTTGAAATGCCCTGGCACACTGCTTCCCAGCCTGTGGTTGACGCATCCATCGTTACCACAGTGTGCGCTGTCACCAGCCCTAGGGGAATCCCCCTGCTGAGCATTCTGGGTTGCACCACGGTCTCAGAGCGCTGATGTAGCTTTGTGTGACCTTGATATGTCCCACAGTCCATGCTATCCATGGGACTCGATCTTTCAGCCACAAGTGTGGCGGCCATATGTTCAGAAGGCCCTGGTGACAAACTGATGATGTCAACACCATAAGTCCCAGGAGCCTCTAGAATTCCCTCAGAGGAACAGACCGACCCAGTCTGAATTGGTTCAGAGCTGCAGAGAGGGTGTCTATGCGCTCTCGCAAGCTTGCATCTTCACCAAGTCAAAACACATGATAGATTGAGTTGGGGTGAACACGCTGTTCTGTACATTCACACACAGTCCCAGGGACTCCAGATGGTGAAGCAGCGTGTCCATATGACTGATAAGCACATCTCTTAAATGGGCCGAAATAAGTCAGTCGTCCAGATAATATTAAAATAATTTTACCAATCGCTCTGAGGGGGGAAAGCACTGCAAATATGCACTTTGAAAACATGCTTGGTGCTAAAGCCCGAATGGAAGAACTGAATACTAGTATGCTGTGCCCTCGAATGAGAATCTCAGGAAGCGCCTGTGGCATGTCGCAATCTGAATATGGAAGTATGTGTCCTTCAGATCTATGGATGCAGACCAGTCCCCAGGATGAATTTGTACCAGGATCTGCTTCAGGGTCGTCATCCTGAACACACGCTTTTGAAGCGCTCGGTTGATGGGCCTCAGGTCCAGTATTGGACCGAGCCCCCCATCTCTCTTGGGCACCACAAAATAGCGGCTGTATAACCCGCTCTGCAGCTCGCTTGGAGGGACATGCTCTATCGCTCCTTTTGCGAGCAGACTGAGAACTTCCTGTTTCAGAACCGTGGCATTTTGTGGCAACGTCAGGGACGGAACCATGGCATTGAAGCGGGGTGGTCTGTGTCTGAACTGGAGAGAATACCCATGTTATATTACGTGTAACAGCCAACGCATGGAATAGCTCTCCACGCGTCTAGAAACTGATGTAGCGGCTGAATGCTTAGACTGGTGCCTTGCCCCAGTGAGCCTAAATGCGCTGGCGGGGAAATGGCTCGTGGAGGGAAAGTTGGCTGACACTCGCCCACCGCTATGGGCAGCGGGGGGCTGCCAGCATCCCTGTGACACTGGGAGGCCATAACAGGTACAGATCGCGGCTTCGCACTGTTCTGAGGCAGGGCAAGCGACACAGTATTCATAGTATGAGGAGGAAACAGCTCTTTTTGAGAGGAGGTGTTTTTATTGCATGGACAGAAAACTGTACATTGCATCCATCGCCTGGAGGCTGGGCCTCCCGCGAGCTCTCTCCTCCTCTTGACAGGACCCTCAGGATGAAGGCTTGGCAGCTGAAGATGGTCTGCTATCATGGCAGGGGCTCCGAATGGGGCGGCGTGGAGAACGCAGCAGGCTGTTTAGACCCTCTCTGTGCAGAACGGGGTGCAGACAAGAAGCGTGATCTAGGAGGCGGCTGGGTCACACGCCGTGGCATCAGATGACTCGTAGCTTTCTCTCGTAACACTTTTGAGCTCAACCACTGACTCCACGGCGTCACCAAAGAGGCCAGAGGGAGAAATTTGCACGTTTAGGAGTCTGTCGCCTGCAAGTATGTCTCTCATGGCTTCCGCTGTTTACATTGCCTCCGTAAGTGGCTTGCAGGATCTTAGCCTGAAAGACCTTCAGCACCGCCAACTCCCAACTGGAAGTACCAGGAGTCGATCCTACTCTTGACAGGTTCCTCTGGAGCCTTCCAGCTCAGGTCTAGCTCCTTGACCGCCTTGGCAAGGACCCTGGCAAGCTCCCCATGGAGGTCTACAGGGCCCTCTGTGTCGGGGCGATCCGGATCTGGCTCTGACTCCGCCCAGTCCTTCTTAAGAGGCAGAGATGTACATGGAGTCCTCTTCCTCCTAGGCACCGAAAGAGATGAAGTCCTCGACGGCCTAAGGTGGGTGGAAGCTGTCGTCTGCAGAGAAGACCAGGGAATGGGCCGTTGGTGGGAGGGGGGGATGGGGAGTTGTGTAGGGCCCACCAGCCGATCACAGGCGGCAGTGGGCCTCGTTCCAGTCAAGCCATAAGGTAGGTCTCTCCTAGCACATAGTATACGGACCAGCAGGTCTGCGCAGTGAGTGCACTCCGAGTCAGCAAAGGCTGCCTCAGTGTAGGCCAGGCCCAGGCAAACGACGCAGTGCTGATGGGTCTCTGGCGGGCTTATGGGGCCCGCACAACCCTGCAGTAAGTGCTTGTTTCCATTTCGTCTTTAGGAAATTCACGTGAATAGATCAGCAAAAGTGAAAGAGAAGATTCTGACACAATTGCCACTCTCGCCGCATTTATACTGCCCACCAAGCCTGTCAGTATTTGCATGCCATTTGCATAGATGAGCGTCAATTGGCCAGGTTATCGAACTGGCGTTATGCTATAAGACTTCAGAAGGGGAGAAATTCTCACATGTGATTCTTGCAATGTAGAGTGAACGCTCGATAGGGAACTCGATCCATGCATGGTGTTGTGGCAGAAATAGTTGAATGTTATTACATTATTCATTTTAGGGTTTGTACAACTTTTTGAGAGAGAAATTCAAGCACTTTTCAGTGACTTTCAAGTATTTCACACAACTATTTCAAGCACATTAAAGCTCTAAAACTGATCCAGTTTAAATGTTATTTTAATGAGATGACCAAAATATACTTTGTGGTAAACAATAGGGCTGGGACAATAAATCGATGCATCGCGAATAGAGAAATTATTCTGCATCCTTTCTGCGATTTTCCAAACGCATCGCAATTCTCTCTTGAATCGATTCTGAGCTTAGTTTTTAACCGCAGATGGCACTGCGTGCTTTAGAAATAACCGTATTCTGCTTGCTTCCAGTTCCTTACACATGCACCATTTGAACCTAAAATAATCATTCATAACGTTCGAAAAGGTTGAAGCCAGTTACAAGGATGTACACAGTGGGCTGTGTTTACATTAATCTTGCATCATAAAAGCATAAAAGCCTATGTGCAAGTACATTTAACCACTTACATTACTCAGCCGCATACACAAGCGCTTTTCTTCATGAGCATTTGAGTGTGTGGTTAAAAACTAGCCTAGAGCACCATCTGCTGTTAAAAACTAAGCTCAGAATCGATTCGAGAGAGAATCACGATGCATTCTGAAAATCTCAGAATCGATCCACGAATCGCATTGATTTATTGTCACAGCCCTAGTAAACAAACACTTATTAAAATTAAAAAACATCAAATTATCACTATAACCAGTAGATGGCAGAAAAGGAGCACTTATTGGCTTTTTAGTCATTCATTTCTACTTTTTGCTTTATATTTTGAAACGATAAAATCACTATTATAAAATATCAAATCATAAAAAAAAATCACACTTTTTCAGAGTTTTGCACTTTTTGTTTATGAAATAAGAAAAGTCACAATGTGCCTTGAAAAATTTTTTTTTCAATTTGTGACTGAATCACATCAAGAGCGGTCCTTTTAGAATCACTGAAGTTGTCAGTCAGTTCTGTATAATACTGTAGAAGAATAATGGTACATTTAATAAGAGTTTTGCATGCTACTGTTGTTAATAAAAGTACATTTTGTATGCTTGTATACTGTCAGATGTGCATTACCAAGAAATAAATGTGTAATATTATTAGTAACTGCACTTATTAATGCAAAACACTAGTAATTTTATGATTAAATTATTTTTCTTTTTAATACCCCCACACACTAACCCCCAGTGCTACCAAACCTGCTCCTGGCACCACCATCTGTAGAACTTAGTGGCACTGGTGCCACTGCTCTCAAATGTTAGTCTGGAGCCCTGATTTGCATTGTTTGCCCAGGCATCAAGATCTTCATTTAGGAAGTCTTGACGGAGATCGAGAATTACAAAGTTGCGAGTATTCTGCCACTTTCGTGACATGTTGCCCAGTATGGTAACCCATACTCAGAATTTGTGCTTTGCATTTAACCCACCCAAGTGCACATAGTGAACACACACCCGGAACAGTGGGCAGCCATTTGCTACAGTGCCCGGGGGACTCAAGTGCTCAAGGACCTGTTGTGGTTACTGAAAGTGGAAGAGAGCGCTGTATATTCACTCTTGACTCTCTAACCATTAGGCCACAACTGCCCCTACTTCTAGTGGAGAAACAAAAGGGGCAGTTGTGGCCTAATGGTTAGAGAGTCATCTGATATCAGAAACAGTCAAAAGTTTATCAGTGAACAAAACCTTTGCTAATATTACCAGTCAGAGCTTGAAGTACCTGTTGATAAAAAGATCCATTCTTTGAGCACACCCTAAATGACAAATTATCTGTATGGTATTTTGCATGCATTACATACTTCTAGTGGATAAACAAATGAGGGGGTGTATACTGCATGATTTTGAGATCCATAATTTCACACCGAGGACAACTGAGGGACTTACATGCAACTATTACAAAGAGTTCAAACAGTCACTGACGCACCAGAAGGAAAAACTATGTATTAAGTGCCTGGAGGTAAAAACTTTCAGGGTAATTTGAACTTATTTTTCTTCTGGGAAACATGCAAGTATCGTCTGTAGCTTCTGAAGGGCAGTACGAAATGAAAATTTTTTAAAAATGTAGACAAAATAAAAATGCACACATCTTCATTCCGTTCAAAAGTTTACACCCCCGGCTCTTAATGCATTGTTTTTCTTTCTGGGGCATAAGTGAGGGTTTAGGGATTTTTTAAAAAACAAGAACATTCCAAGAAAATATAAATCACATTGCCGGGTACAGTCCAAGGAGGTTCCATTGTCTCTTAATATATAAGAAAACAAAAATATTGTTTTTTATATTATTATAGTTATGTCCTGTATACAGAATTATTACACAGTTGATTTGATCTAAGCAGGAAAAGGGGCAAAAAGTACTTAAAGGGAAAGATAAAGAATATTTTGCATTTAATTGAAAATATATTAATGAAGTCTTCTTCGTCTTATAAGGTCTTTTAAAAAGGGAAATTAAAATGACCTAGATACAAATGATCATGCTTTTCTTTACATTGCTATTATTTACAAGACTGTCCATTTCCTTCTGTGTTAATGGCAATTTCTCGTGTCATTTAGGAGGATTAACGTGGGTTCACAGTTTCAAGCAGAGATCCCCCCAGTGCGGGACACACTGTACATGCTGGATGAAGACCACCCTGCTCAACTCGTCTGGACTCCTTGGAAAGATCTCTCTACCAACACAGAAACACAACAGAGGGGTAAACACACCAACACAGACTCTCACAGTGTAGCAGAAAGGGTCTCGTAGTATCACCTGCCAGGGATTAAAAAAAAAATACAGCAGTGAACAAATACAGTTTGAATAAATGAAATGTATTACATCCTTTTGTCTTTTTTTTTTAATGTAAAGTCAAAAGTCATTTTTCAAGCATGTATAAAGGGTAAAAAATTATTACATTTAGTCCTTTTTGTGCTTCAGTCACAGAGCTGTTAGACATGTGCTGTTGCAGTGTGCTACCAGGAGGAGGCACCAACATCGAATTCGCTCTCAACTGCCTTCATGAAGTTCAAGGAAGCATAATGGTGAGCTTATTCATCATACTGAGTGTTATTTATAGATGTTTGTTTAATACAGCTCAGTTATTATTATACTGTCAGGCAGCACTGGATTTACTCTTAATGAGAGAAGATTTTCGGACCTCCTGGCACCCTCTGAATGATTACCACTACACAGGTACTAACTATTTATATCAAAATATATAAAGCATTCATAAATCCTTCATAAACTTGATGTCGCTCATTGTATTTGGCAGGGTCAGACCACTGGACAGTGCAAGAGATTAAAGTGTTCAAGAAAGCTCTGGTTGACCACGACAAGGACTTTCAACAGATTCATAATGTGGTAAGAAAGTTCATAAAAATAAGTTGTTTTTTTTTACTTGAAAAAAGGTCTATGGTTATTACAAACTAACAACATTGAGTCTCTAAATATGCTAAGTTTATTTTGTAGTTGCAGACAAAATCAATAGCCCAGTGTGTGGAGTATTACTATAACATGAAGAAGCTGAAAAAGTTCAAGCAATGTGTCCGAGCCACAAATAACAAGGATGAAGGTGGAGGGAACTCTGTAAGTTTAATTTCAGTAAATGGACACAAGATCTGCATATACATCATCTAAAAACATTACTGCTATTTTCCTAAAGGCATTGAGATGCTCACAAGAGCACCAGCCTGAGCAGATAAACGGGAACACAGGACAGAAGACAACAGCTGCTCAGAGTGAGGTGTGTGCCAGGTTAGAGCACACTCCTGATTTACATGCCTTCAAATACGTGGTAACACAATGAAAAAATATTTCATTTTGTGAAATTAAGCTAAAATAATAGATTTATGACTATCCTGTCACTCTTAGTCTTTACTTCATAGTAATAATAGGTATTTTAGGACATTTTTGTTCTAACCTGCTGTGACATGAAACAATCAGCAAAACACTTTCATTTTATGAATAATTATTAGCAAATTTGAAAATGACACGTTCAAATTCATTTTACCTTTAAATCCAACAGAGATGTGAAGAGCCACAGTTCCCCCTCAGTCAGGATAGAAACTATCTCCAGATGGCAGTGGACAAGCAAGGACACAGGTCAAAGCAGAAGGCTAACGTGAACTGAATTCCAATCAGTATTTCATAAAAGATCCTTTGTAAGAGCTCAAGTGTGTTTTAGACTACAGTAAATATTCGACTCATTGTCCAGCGATTAATATGGACCGTGAAATTAGCCGTAATTGTAATCCAGAATAAAGTTCGCATAAAAAGAATAGCCAACTTTGTGGAATTTTTTTTTTCCAACTGTTTATTTCTTGTTCAAATTTTGAGAAGTGCACAAGGCACTGAAGTTAACAGTTTGACGTTTTTAGAATGTACCAGACAGGTTAATTTAATATGACAGGGTTTCATTAAAAAAAAGGTTTCTTGGTTTTTATTTGTTCAGCTGTTTGAGACATTTAGTTTGGGTTCAAAATTTTCTCTCAAGATCTGTCATTACCAGTTTTACTGTTCTACTGATTTTCCTCCTTTCCATTTTATATGATCTATTCTACAATCCATGTGAACTATAATAAAGTTATTAAATTGCAGTTTTACTATCTTATGCCATTAAAACAGCCGATGATGTCCATGTATAACAATGTCAATGCATAACATGTTTGCTGTTTATTATATTACCATAAGGTGTTTGGTTGTCTAAGAATTCCTTTGCTGTTCTAATAGAACAAATGTTTTACTAGTATTGTTAAACTTGTTTACAAAATAAATGAGAACTGAAAAACAATTTTCCATTGGTAATTCTCCAGAATATTTCATAGATCACTTTAATCTGAACATGCTACTAATAGAATACATTGTAAATTCTACTGTTGCAAGTATAAAAAAAAAATAACTAGCACATCATTTGAATGTACATATCCCCCATAAATATAAAGGAGGAAGCTATACTGTTGAAATGCATGCACGAGTTTGACAATGCATTCCATGTAAAGCCTACAACACTAACATGACAATACTATCGTAACAGTAACAGTATATGCAGATTTAATCAATAATACAACACTTACTTTATGGCCTGGAATTTGATTGACCAAATTAGATTTTTCAGTGTTCCAGAACAGAGTATGCAAACTGCAGAGATAAGGTTGGCTTGATGTCTGCACAGCAGTGATTACCTATGACCAAATCACAGTCGTGCTGATATTCAGAACAGCAGCATGATTGCTCATATTGCATAAATATGTAATGCTTTAGAGACGTTAAGAGATGTTAAGAATGTAGTAAAACCGATTTAGGCAAAAATTTTGTAAAACTATCTACATTAGTCACAAGACAATGACTAAACAAATCCTCAGACCTCTTAGAGACCAAATACTATATTAAACAATAGTGTCACAAATTCCTTGTAAAAGGAATGTTATTTCAAAACTTATTTACATAGCAGTATAACTGTATTTATCTTTTCTCGTAATCCTTGCGTCTAAAACCGGTTGATTATGATAGTCATCAGATAACTAGGTAATTAAAGGAGCTTACTGTGGGATGTGACAACTGTTCAAAGGCAACCCTTAATATTTACATATATTTTTTTTTTAAATCTTAAAGGGATAGTCCACCCAAGAATGAAAATTCTGTTACCATTTACTCACCCTCGAGTTGTTCCAAACCTGTATGAAAATAAACTTCTGATGAAAATAAAAGATTTTGAAGAACGTGGTTAACCAAACAGTTGATGTCCCCATTGACTTCCATAGTATTTTTCCATAGGGTGAGTAAATTGAGGGTAAATGATGACAGAATTTACATTTTTGATTGAACTATCCCTTTAAAATGACTTTGTGCATATGTACATAAACAGTGATCATGAGTCTTCTTCAGACACACGAACCTTACTTTCATAGGATACTAGAGTCTGGTAAAGACTTTCTCTGCTTTGGTTTCCACTGACACTGTTCCACTGCTCAATTTCACGTGTGGAGGAGCCACCTTTCAGCTGATCCACATAGTCAGAGTTCTGATGGAGAAACAAAATGTGGTCAAGGTGTTTAGACCCCAATGTGGCCCTTCTTTGGGTCACTGAGGACTCCCTAGGGGCAAATGTCCGATCAGCAGAAACAGCAGTTGCAGGTATGGACAGGTATTTTCGTGCCAGTCTGGCCACAGCAGGAAAGCGATGCTCCTTGTTGCGCCACCAGTGCAGGGGTGAGAGGCTGCGTTTGCAAAGTGGCTCTGCTATGTAATTCTCCAGCTGCTGGTGAATCTCAGGCATTCGCTCAGTAGGATCCTCGCCCAGAAGAATATCATACATGCTCTGTGGGAGAGGACTCATCTGTATACAAGGCTTGAGCTGTAAATCTCCTCTCAGGGGTGAGGTCATACTGGTCCCACTAGAAAGTTTTCGGCAGTCGTTGGCATTCTTGAAAGGCGATCCAAATGTGTTTTCATTGACTTGTTCTGGAGATGATATGGCAACAGAGGGCTCGCTTGGCTGCAGCTCAACGCTGTCACCTTCCTCCACTGATCCGCACAATTCAGGAGAATCCAAAGAAGCCATTGCAGGAATTGGCAAGGAATCATCCAATCCAAAATCTGCAGGTTCTCCACGCTCATCCACAGTCTTTTCCATTTCCATGCTTTGTCTCCTTTCTGCATTCATTTGTTCGTCGCTCGTGAAAGCCTGAACAGAAAGCAGCTCTTTCACCTTGTCGTGCAACTTGCTGCGGGCATGTGGGCTGAGAAACCGCAACTCTTTAAAACGTGGGTCCAGAAACGAGGACAATACGGCGGAGGAATCCAGAAGAGCATCTTCATCACTCAGACTCCACCGTTTGTCCATACCAGCACGAATTCTCTCCATAACTCCCTTCACCTCTGGACAGGTACACTCTGCAATTTTCTGTCCCAGGAGCCGAGACACTCCTTGTAGGCACGGCATTAATGCTGAAATGGGTCCGTTGATGTCCTCACTTAAAAACGATGCCGCAATGCGAACCGTTTTGAGCACAGGAACTAGTTCGTGTATAAGACGCCACTGGTGATCTGCCAGATTTGTTGCTACTTTTTGCTCCTCTAGGACAGAACTTATTACCCACTTGAGCTCCAGCAGACTCTCACACATCTCAATGGCAGTGGCCCAGCGCCCTGGGTCATTCAAGACAAGGCATGTGGACTCTTTATTAACAGCCCCTGCTTTCTGGCTCAGTGCCATAGAAGCGTTCACATTGTGCTGGAAATGTAGGACAATGGCACGGGCATCTGCCAGAGCTTGTCTGACAGTCTCCACACAAAGTCCCTCCTGGACACAAAGTTTCAGGGCCTTCCCTGCACAAAGCAGAAGTGCCCATCCCTCGGGAAGATTACTGGGAGGAGGATGGCTGGGTCCAGCAAATTCTTGCTGATATTCCTGATTAATGGCCATATTCTCCTGCCCCCTGGTCTCGGATCCACTAGGGGTGTCATGCACGACACAGAAAACAAAGTTCTTTGGGAGCTGGAACTCGGAGAGGACTGCTCTCAAAGTGTCTGCAAAGCTCGCTTGCCCTCTCTCAGATGGGCTTCCTTTGAATTCTACTATTGGTCGGGTCTCAAGCACGCAACGTGCCAGGCGCCAGTGAGAGTCTACAAAATGCGTGCTGACTGTAAGGTAGTACTGACCGTCCCCATCAACCCCACATCCATCAACGGATCGCCAATATTCGGTGCAGAGGGTCAGACAGTGAGAAGCTAGACTTGTCTGTAGATGCTGCTGAAGGCATTGCTTGAGGACGTGGTAGCGATGCCAAAGTAGACTGCCAAGCACAGATGGAGAAGGCACGGGGTAGTTAGGCTCTAGGCAACTCAATAAGAGCTTGAACCCCCTCTCTTCCACCACAGACAACGGCCGAAGGTCTCTGAAGACCATTTCCAAGATAAGATCGGTCAACACCTCTGCTCGCTTGTTGCTGCAGGCTCTTGAGCCGCTGCGGTTGCTGTTGCCTCCAGCAGTGCTGCTCATCTCCCCCGCAGGAAAATTATACATTAGGCAACCCATATCTGTATCTTGGTGCACAATGGCATTTGAACTAGAAGTACTGCTTCCTGCTGCACAGTCAGGGGCGTATGTGGTCCGAGCAGATTTGGTCTCTGCCATCTCAGCTGGCAGTACTTCTTCCTGCTCCTCTTTGACAGTAACAGGTAGTGCTGGTTGAAATGGAGCATTGCCTGTGGTGTTACATCTGTTACCATGTAAAGAGGTTTGAATGTGAGAATGCAATGCTGCAGGAGTGGGGATGCCTGTTGTGTTGTGAGGGGGTACTGCTCCGTCCCGAATGCTGTGTTTGCGTCCTAAGTGTTCTCTCATGGAAGTAGTGCTGTTGTGAAAGGAAAGCTGTCTCTTACAATGGTTACACTCAACACGATGCAGACTTAACTGAGTGTAGTGGTTCCACACTTTCGATGTGCGGCGATCAGAAAATGGCAAAAAACGCTGCATTCTCTGACGAAAAGTTGGACTGCTGTGAATTCCAGGATGCCTTTGAGGTGGGAGATCCATGTCTGTGGTGAAAAAAAATTTAAAAATCAGAGCATAAATTTGTTTTAATGTATGTCATTTAAGAACAAGAGGATTGAACAGGAACTTATGTAATTATGCAACTAGCATAATTACAGTTACATTTATTTTGTAATGAAAAAGCTATGATAAAATCTTCAATCCTAATCCTTTATGTAATGAATGTCAAGGTTTTTTTTTTTAACAAAAACATTTTCATAGAAATGGTATGTCATGGTTAGAATGTGGTCCTTGAAACCTTGTTTCCTGGGGGTCAACAAAATGTCATAAATGTACAGAAATCCCAGTGCTGTATGCAATTCATGTAAATCTAAAGAAATAACATTATCAGGACTGTCTTTTTGTTTATATTTTCCGACTTAACTATAAGCCTTTTCTTAACGCTGTGACATACATACAGCTTAAAATATTTTGTCATGAAGTCTCTCACCTCACCTGTGCAAGTCACTGTGCACAAATGAACACTCGTAACCATTTGGGTGTGTGTGTGTGTGTGAGAGAAATAAAGAGAAACTGTCTTGTGCAGCCATTAAAGAGAACTTCTAGCTAGCTAAAATATTATACAAACATTGCAGTTTAGCCTGATTTTGTGTTCACTGTCAAATGTTTTTGTGGCTGCTCAAAAGAAACCCACTTGTACAATGTCTCTTGTACATGTATTTGGTTATGTAAAATTAAGATGTTTTTTGCAGCTAAAATATAGCTTTCAAGTTGCAGTTTGTTCTTAATCCAAATACTTAAACTTCTAGTTAAACCTTGGTTCCATTAATTGTTTCATCTCAGATGTGGTTGGTTGTAGAACATTGTCACATAACTTAAATACAACCAAAATGCAACCCTCCAAAATGCAATAAAAGCGTAGTTGTAAAATAAGGAAAATGTGAATTTAAATATTTTTTTATTATTATTATTATTCTGTGACTGGACACTATTTCACAAGTTCATCCCCTTTTGGATTGTTTGCCATTTATATTAAAAGGTCCTGGAGCGTGTGAAATAATTTTTTTAAACTACAAATATTCCATCCATGTAGTATCTTATGCTGTTGTTAATATTATGTTAATAAAACTCTTTATATAATAATTATACCAGAACACTGTTGTAAATGTTGAACAAAATAAAGTAAAGCATGTCACACAGCACGACACTTTTTTTGTTTTTCGAGGGAACACTTAAAACAAATGATAAGATTTGTATTAAGAGACTGACTCCATGTCAGGTCTAACTCTCTCTTGCTCGTTACAAGAGCGTTTAGCCAGAGAACAATAACCATGCAATATGATACTAATGAAACAATTCCGCTATTATTTACATCAAACGTCGCTGGATGTTCTTCCGGGCGAGCATAAGGGCCTTTAAGGTTTTATCCACTTCCAGCACGTGTGTTACCACCACTAAATACTACACGCTTCCGCAATGCTGACTTTATATAACTTAGCGTCGGAAAATAAATAATACCTTACTAATAACATATAAAACAGTCTCAGAATTCCTGCACATCCTCCGCGCCTTCGCGACCTACACACTGGATGTGCTTGGCGCGGTGGCCACTAGGGCACGAGGGTAAGTAGTACACACTCAAGAGAAGCGACTAATGTGCATCAGGCGCGTATCATAACTGCTTGACCCTGCTCGTGTAGATATGATATATAAATGGTTACATAATTGTAAATATGTCATTATCAACTGACAACAACTCACAAGTAATAATAAACACCGCAGATCGTTTCACTGTCATTTTGAAAACAACTATTTTGCGACAACCCCTAAAGTCTTAGCGAATTTACTTCCGATTTCCGCATGATGTGTCAAAACAAATAACTTCATTTCAGGCGATGCGAATGGGATATTGCTTGGATATCGTTCACTGCAGTCTGGCTCACATTTAATCTGCCCAAATGGATTATTCTGGAAAAGAAAAGGAAGCTATGGCCATCATGGCTGAGGCGGACAAGAAAATGAAAACGTCGCATTCGTTATTCGGGTCGTTTTTTGGGTAACTCCATTAATGATGGTTTTTGCACCTCTGCGATATTGAATGTGTTCGTGTGCAACAAGCAATGTCGATATGATTCGAATGAAC